TTCTCTCAACTTTCAAACTTTATTATGAGATACTCTGTATTATATTTCCATTTCAAGTGACCGTTTTTATTTTAAAACTACATCTGTTCTTTTTAACACTTCCTATATATTTTGACTTTGTGCCAAAATCAGGAAAATGTAATTTTGGTTGATTTTCTAAATTTGCCTCTGATGTTATGAGTAAAAGTAAGATGTTATAGTTTGGTTATTAATAAAAAGTATGATGTAATAGATAGGATATGAAAAAATAGAGGTAAAAGTGATTTTTAATAGAAAATAGAAGTGTTTTAGGGAATTGGAAAAAAATGAAAGAGAGAGTTTTTTGAAACGAAGGGAGTAGTTTACTAGTATCACAGCCGTGCGTTGCACGGGTTATATTTATACTACCAAATTTAAATTAGTTTTCAACGAAATGAATTTAAAAACGCACTTGAAAGAATCTAATTACTCCCACCGTCCCAAATTATTTGCCGCATTTTTCTTATCGAGGCAAAATATCAAGTTTTTTCAATTCATTTTATTTACATATTGGTAAAGAAATAAAAATTACTCTCCGTTCCAGAGTATTTGTCCACTTTCATTTTTACACGCCATCTAATACACTTTTTTAATCCATTTAATCTTGTAATTTGTATATTAAAAAATTATATAAATTATATATTAATAATCTATATGTTAAGACAAATCAAACAAGATCACACATGACTATATTTAGGCTTACACATTTAGAGAATTTGATGAATCAAAGTGCTTAGATGAACAATTCCAAAAGTCAAAAGTGGACAAATATAGCGGGACGGAGGTAGTACATATCAAAAAACTACATGAAAAGTTATTCAAAATAAGAGGTGTTAAGAGTATTTTATTTTATCAAATAACCGATGAAAATGTAGAAATAAACAAAAGTTTCCGCGACTACTGAAAAAGCAAATATAACAAATAATTTGGGACAGAGAATGTACAAAAATATTTGAAAATGATCATATTTATACTACGAAAAGTTTTTTTTTGCTTATTCTATATTCTATTTTCCTGTTTTAGAGTTTTTTTTAATTTTAAAATTACAATGTAATATTTTCAGAAAAATTACACGTTTGGTGTTCTTACCTTTTCAACATTCTTTTTTTAATTTAATTTTTTTAATTATCAACACGTATTTATGGTTCTTTCTTACCAAAACTGTGTAAAAGAAAATTACTTTATTTATAATATCTATACATTATAAATGGAAACATATGTCTATTTTTAATTGTATGCAAGTCGAATTATAAATATATGTACGCAAGCTGGTCTATGTTAATTAGAGCCTGTTTGGGAATAGCTTTAGCTAGAAGAGTTAGCGTTTTGAAAAAGCTATGTACGGGCAGCGTTTAGCGTTAGCGTTTTCAAAGTAATCTGCACCGTCAAAATTTTATCCAAAACGCTAACGCTAATCTCTAACGCTATTTCCAAACAGGCCCTTAATCTCTTATTTACAAATCCCATTGTTGAATGAAAACTTGATCTTTTTGTATGGAAAGTGAATATATACTCCGATCCCATCCGATCTGGGTGTATATATGATTCACAATTCAATCCATATCTTTTATATACGAAATATAAATTTGAGAATTCAATGTATTAGAGCTTGACGTTTGGCACAATTATGGTATACATGTGGTATATTATATTATGTGCATTTGATTTATGAGTTAAAAATTATTCAATAATACTTGACATGGAATTAAATTTTTATTTTTCATCAAAAATAAAATTATTTAAAATAAAAATTACTCGAAATCATTTATTTTAAATTATCAAGAATAAAATTATTCAATAAATCCTTTATATAAAAAGGAGGGAACTTTTCACCAATAGTTTTCCCGCCCATGTGCAAACACATATGAGCTGTTGATATTGGACCATTAGAATGATCAACGACTCTAGATTTTACCATTTAATGATCATATTATTTAAGGAAGCAGCATATTGTTCCATTGATTTTCATATATGCAAAGATTTGTAATGAAAAGAAAATTAATTGCAAAATATATGGAACGATTTCAATGAACAATGTTATTTTTTAGAATTTGTGTGCATTAAATAAAGGGTTTTAAATAAGGGAAACGATTAGTGATGAAATTTTTTATCGAATTAGTCTAACAATAACAATTAGTAATTTGTCTAGCAATATTTATGGAAATATTTGTAATGAAAAGGAACTTAATTGCGAGATTTGTTACATAATTGTCACAAACTTACAAACTTACTATTTGTGAAGTCAATAAATAAAATTAAATAGTCTAAACTAATTTTAAAATTAAAATTTAAACGATAAATAGTTAGTTTGTGAGTATCCTATTTGTGAATATAGCATAACTCTTTTAGAATTCATGTGTATTAAATAAAGGGTTTTTATTAAAGCAAAGGAAACTATTGGGGAGACGTGTCTACTTTTAAAAAAAAGGAAATACCTAGAGAAACATTCGAATAATATTTTAAAAAATAATACCTTTTGATTCTTAAATAAACTTAACTAACGTGAATTATTGAAGTCATTGTGAAGTCAAAGTACAAAATATAAAACCAATAACTATCCAAAAATAATGTGAGCTCTAAAGTAGGTTGTAATACAAACTTAAATTACTTCATGAATGTAAAGTCATGGCCACGAAAGTAATTAATTAAACACTAAAAGGAAAAAAAGACTAAAGTAAAAGTAAAACATTGAAAATATAGCAAAATAAAAGTTTCGTGTTTTTATTCTCACAATGGATGTTAAAATGCATTTACATTATCAATCATTATCATGTACATTATCAAAAAATATGGTAAAATGCACATGTACGAACATTGTCACATTACCGCAGTGCAAACTCTTATGTTTTACTGTGGTGATTTCTTAACATTAAACAGCATAAGAACATGTATTTTAATATCTACGTGTAATTAATAATGAAAATGAGTAACGCCACGTTGAGTACACGAAATTCAAACTATGGAATTGGAATTGAGAACTTCAATTCTAATTCTCATTTTTGGGAATATAAAAATTATGTGAATTTGGATTTGATAGTGCAAAAAATGAATTGGAATTAGTAAATTCAGTTCAATGGAATTGAATCCAATGAAATTTTAATTTTAACTAAGAGCACTGGAAATACGTATGAAGCCTCGGGGCTTCAAACTCTCTATCACTACCACGTCAGCTTTAACTTACACTAAAAATTCACTGGAAATGGGTTTGAAGCCCCGGGGCTTCAAACTGGGGCTTCAAACCTTCATTTTTTACATTTTTAAATATACATCTTCTAAATTTAAATTAATAAATTTATATTAATTTATTATTTATATTAATCGCAATGAGACTAGTGCATTAAAAAATTACATTCATTAAAAAAATAATTAAAAAATTACATTAATTAAAAAATGAACATTTAATTAAAAAATTACATTAATTAAAAAATTAAAACAAATTATATTTAGGTTTGATCTTGTTATGTCTGCTCTCGAAAGAAAATTATATTCGTTTGGTCGTTTGACTCGAGACCGGACAAAGGAACATCAAAAATGAAGAGATTAATGTTAAAAAGATGAAAAAAATTGAATATTTTTTTAATTTGAAGAAGATAGAGGAAAAGATTTTGTCGGTGTTTAATTTAAAAAAAATAAAGAAGAAAGATTTTGGTTGTGAGTTTTATTTTTTAAAAAAAAATTGAAGAGGAAAATATTTTGTGAGTGTTTAGAGGAAGAGTTTTTTTTATTTGAAGAAAATAGGGCAAAACACCCGTTATAAGTTTGACGCAATGCATTTAATGCTCGGATGAAGCCCTAGGGGGCGTTAAAAATGCAATAACGCCCACTGGTATTTACATGCATACCTAGTGGCCTAATATCTCACCCGTATGCATACCTAGTGGCCTAATATCTCACCCGTGCCTTGTGCGTTACGGAAAATGATCTTTTGATAAATTTAAAGATAAGAGCTTAATATACAGTATGTGTTTTAATTTATAAGACACAAATCGACATTGCAATTTTGCTAGGAAAAAAATTACTATACATTTATTACCATCTAAATTTAAGATATCTTTTGAGATGATTAACCACTTCAACAAGTTCCAAAGTGGAAATTCAATACCAAAATACACTCCCTTTAAATCTCTCCGAAAAAGCATAAGTCCCATGTTTCATGGGACGGAGGGAGTATGTTACTGGCCATAATATTGTCACTTGTATGGTGTATTTCTTCGACCATGGCTGCAACGTGTCATTACCCTAGCCTCTTTTGTCAAAAGATGTAATGAAATAACAATATCCATGAAATTGTTTGCATCGCCGGTCTTGCCATTGCCATCAATGAATTGCTGAAGCTCCATTGAATTTTGCACTCTTGTTGATTACGCAAAATCTTAGACCTCCATTTCACCATATAAATACTACTCCATAACATACATTTTAATTTAAGACGAAAAGAGTACGATAAACAAATTTATTGCCAACATAACATAATAAGTGACATATTTGGTGCAAAGAATTACTCCAATGTTTATTACGTACGTGTTAAATATATTAAGTATATATTTAGTATCTTGTGTATATAGTAGTTCTCATACATGTATAGTCCTTATTAATTAAAGATTCCTAACATAGTAGGTTTCCTATTATAACTAGGACTACTCTACTATATAATATCCCTTGTATTCCTACATTATGATTATCGGAATATATCAATTCTTCATGGTATCAGAGCCCTAAAATTTTCACGGCTCTCTCTCCTTGTTTCGGCTCTCTCTCGGCAGCATCTCTCTCTCTCTGCCGTAGCTCTCTCTCTCTCTCGGCAGCATCTCTCTCTCTGCCGTAGCTCTCTCTCTCCCTGCCAACCCTCTCTCTCGGCCATCTCCCCTATATCTCACCATGGATGAAGTCTCCTCCGTCTCCTCCGACAACACCAACAACACCAAATCTCCCCACCTTGCTTTTACAACAATCTCAAACATTAAACTCCATATCCCCGTTCAACTCAGTATCTCGGAGCCAAACTACAAAAAATGAAGTCGACTCTTTCGTCTCCTTGTTCTTCGATTTAATCTCATGGGATATCTTGACGACACTATCGTCGCCAAATCGGCCAACGATGCTGAGTGGTTCGAATTTGACGCCCTACTTCAAGGATGGATCTTGTCTACCGTCTCCGATGAGGTCTCCGATCTCGTCCTCGCAAACAGCCCTACAGCCGCGGCACTCTGGAAAGCGATCTACAAATTGTTTCATGACAACAAGCACGCCCGGGCGATGCAATTGGAGCACCGGTTTCGCACCACCGTCAAAGGAACCAAGACAATAAATGAGTATTGTCACACTCTCAAGAACCTAGCCGACTATCTCGACGACATAGATGCTCCGGTGACCGAACACGCCTCGTCTTACAAGTGCTTCAAGGATTGCCACATGACATCCGGGGCCAAGTTCACTTTTTGCAGTATCAGAACCCGTTTCCGACGTTCCTGGAAGTCCGATCGGCTCTCCTCTTGGTCGAACAACAGCAGGCCGACGCCCTCCCCAACGCCGCACAGTCCACCGCCCTTCTCAGCTTCAGCGGCGGCGGCGGCAGCAACATGGCGGGCGGGGGTCAGTCGCGGCCAGGCAGCAGCGGGCAGAACTCCGGGCGTGGCAGTTTCGGCGGATCAAATCGGGTCAATTCTGGTGGCTACCGCGGGCGTGGCCGTGGACGTGGACGAGGCAGCTCGAATCAACGACAACCCGGCCCAAATACCT